GGGAGCCAGAGAACTCCTTCAGACAGAGAGACCCAGGAGATCCTGCAGGAACTGTCTGCAGGTAACTTCTGCTGTGAGCTGAGGGTAAATGGGTGGACATTGACTACATTTGCTACTGGAAGGTTTGTGGTCCAGGGTGGCAACTCTTTGGCCATGTGATGAATTCCTGTTCAATAAAAGATTTCTGAGATTTCATATGTTGATGTTTTCTCTGGGAGCCATGAGTATGATGCAGGCTGGAGCTCTTTATGGCCTTCCACCCTGGCTGCTTGGAAGAAAATATCAGCAGTAGATTAATCGATTTGGATATATTGGAGTGATGCTTGGGAGAGAGGTCTAGGCCAGAGATAGAAATTTGGGAATCTGCTGGAAGGAAAGAAGAATCAATGTACAAGTGTCAGCAGAAAGTTATCTCTCTGGCCTCACCTATAGAAAACTGTCTTCAAGCAAAAAGTGGATGTAAGTGTGCACCAGGGTCAATCTGTAGTCCCAGCATTTTGGTAGCTTGAGACCAACCTAGGCAACACAGTGAGACCCTGTCTCTAAAAAAAAAAAAAAAAATAGCCAGGCATGGTGGCACATGCTTGTAATCCCAGGTACTTGGGAGACTGAGGTAGGAGGATCACTTGAGCCCAGGAGTTTGAGGTTGCTGTGAGCTATGATGATGCCACTGTACTCTAGCCCAGCCTGAGCAAGAGCAAGACCCCATCTCTACTAAAATTAGCCAGACATTGTGGCACATGCTTGTAGTCCCAGGTACTTGGGAGACTGAGGTAGGAGGATCACTTGAGCCCAGGAGTTTGAGGTTGCTGTGAGCTATGATGATGCCACTGTACTCTAGCCCAGGCAACAGAGCCAAGACCTCATCTCAAAAAAAAGCAACTCATATATTAAATGACATTGTGTTTAGTATTATAGAGTCTACTAAGTTTGCCCTTGGCATTTTTTTTTTAAAGGGGAATGAGGTTCACTTTCCTGTTGTTTTTTTTTTTTCTCTGAGACAGTCTCACTCTGTCACCCTGGGTAGAGTGCAGTGGTGGAATCATAGCTCACTGCGACCTCACAATTCTGGACTCAAGGGATCCTCCTATCTCAGCCTTCGCAGTAACTGGAACTATAGGCGCATGCCGTGACACCTGGCTAATTTTTCTATTTTTAGTAGATGTGGGGTCTTGCTCTTGCTCAGGCTGGTCTCGAACTCCTGAGCTCAGGCAATCCTACCACCTCAGCCTCTCCAGAATGCTAGGATTACAGGTGTGAGCCACTGCACCCAGTCAATAAAATTTCAATTATACACATACAAGTAATATAAAAACTGGTAAAATCTGAATAAGGTCCATAGTTTAGTTAATAGTATTGTAATAATGTCAATTTTTTGGGTTTGATAATTATGCTATCGTCAGATGTTATGTTATCACTGTGGCGGGCTGGGTGAAGGGTACGTGAAAACTTTCTGGCTATTTCCGCAGCTTCCATGCAGGTCTAAAATTATGTCAAAATAAAAGTTTTAAAAAAGAAATCTAAAGGAGGAAATCCTTGCAGGACTGGCCATCTTAAAATCTTAGGCTCTAAAATTTTTACTTAATGGCTAAAATGTAAAGGACCGACAATACCAAGTGTTGACAAGGATGTGATACAAGGGGAACTCTCATAAACTGCTGGTGACCATATAAATTGACATACTTTGGAAAAAGGATATGGTAATATCTACTAATGTTGAATTATGCATATCACATAAAGCAGAAATCCACTCCTAGGCATGTCCCAATTTATATATAATAAATGTCAAAGCCAGGTAAAATTAAAGTACAGAAGTGGTTTTGTATGGGTAAGAAGAGCGATAATGATTGGAAGGGGGCATCATGGGAAATGCTGGGAGTGTTAGCGATGTTCTATTTCTTGACCTGGATGATGATCACACGAATGTTCATTTTGTAATAATTAAATCGAGTTATATATCCATCTTGTATACTTTTATGCTTCTGTTATTCCACATAATGAAAAAAGTTAAAAACAAAGAGGGAACAAAAATGTAAAAAGAGTTCACATGTAGAGTGATTTAAGCATCTTTTCTAAGTTTAATACAAAATTTGGCCAAGTCTTCAGGTTGGATAGAGCTATAGTCCCCATCTCAAAGGTGGACTGGATACTGGAGGTAGAAGGGAGTTGCCTTCTGAGAAATAGGAAGAAAGGTAGACCAAGGCCTGATTTTTTCTAGATATCTTAAAGCTCAATTTGCCTTAATGCCTAGGTATTCCAGGGAGCCAGTTTCTAGCTATTCCAGCCATTTTGTAACATTATTTGTAGTTGAATTACAACGTTTATTTTCCTACCTGGCTGTCCCAACTTTCTACTTATCTCAACATTCCAATTTACCTATAAAAATACTCTATTTTTTATTATGAAAAATAATTTTACAAAATAAAGGAGTAGTGAGCATTACACTCAATCATTACTGAGTCTCATTCCAAATTCTCTTAGGGCATTTATTGATGATAATTTTTTTTTTTTTTTTGAGACAGAGTCTCACTCTGTTGCCCAGGCTAGAGTGCCGTGGCATCAGCCTAGCTCACAGCAACCTCAAACTCCTGGGCTCAAGTGATCCTCCTGCCTCAGCCTCCCAAGTAGCTGGGACTAAAGGTGCGAGCCACCATGACTGGTTAATTTTTTTTTCCTATTTTTAGTAGAGACAGGGTCTTATTCTGGCTCAGGCTGGTATCGAACTCCTGAACTCAAGCAATTCACCCACCTTGGCCTCCCAGAGTACTAGGATTACAGGCGTCAGCCACCGCGCCTGGCCCTTGATGATAAATATACGATAAATATTTACACAATTGCAATCAGTATCCATATACTTCTCCTCTTCTCTTAATCTTATCTTCCTACACTATTTTTCACTATTTCCTACACATATTTTTCACTTTGAGTTTACCTATTTGTCATACATAGTAGGTAGCTACAAAGTATTCCATCTTAATTATCTATGTTGCGCCTGTTTTGACTTAACTGATTCTAATATTTATAGGAAGCACAATTCCTCTGTATCCATCAATACGTCGATATGGACCATTTGCTTCATATCTGCTTCTTCCTTAAAGCTGCAGTCCCACCATTTTCACCAGCTGTGTCAAAACAGGGTTCACGAAGTGACAGGTTAAAATATGGGATCCTCCCAAGCAATTTCTTACCAAGTTACACACTGACTTTTTATGCCTTGTTTCATCTGTTGTTCATTTGTACAGGGCCTTTTCCATTCTATCATTATATCACAGTTATTTTATTTGTCAATGGCTGAAAGAAAGTGAAAGTCTGATTATCTGTGAACACGAGGCTAGGATTCACAGTGGAAAGCAAAGGACTACACTGTATACCTCATTCCTTCTTCACTACAAGCATCTGCAGGAAAGAGGGGGAAAGAGGCAGGACCATCTATTCTTCAACAAACATTAACTTCACTTTCTCTGTCTGAATCTAGTCTTCCTCGTGTAAATGCAAAAGACGATGCCACCTGGCTTCTCTCCTTGCAGTACTCACATTATCTAGAGAATCCTTTTCTTTTGGCCCAACAGTTTTCTATGAAACCCGCCCCTCGTCAAACTATTTCCAAAGTATGAATATGGAAAATCTTTCGCTATTTCTTTACTGTTTGTGATTCCTATAGCCGTTACTCAATGTATTTTGGAGCCTTAATGGATAAAGTATTGGATGATAAGGATTTGGAAACGTATCCAGACTATCAAGTTGTGTTTTACTCAAACAACTTGCTTCTAAAAGTATTCTTACAATATGTGGTGTTCTCCTAGAACAAAACCTCTACTTAATAAAAGCGGATCCCCATATGGTCAACATCTTTGTTATCTTTTGTACGCACGGTTATGTTCTCGTCACCAACCACGACCCCACCAGAGGGCGCTCATTCCCTGTCTGTCTAGTCGTCTCCAACAGCGACTCAGAAAAATCTAGGTTAAACACTCAGAAACTAAGTTTTTAACATTTAATCCACAAAAATTTGCCGAGAATTTACTGTGCCGCTAGGTGTGGGGCTAGGTTTATTAGATACTGTGGTGAGTTAAGCACGATTTCTACTACTAGAAGCTTAGAGCATAGCAAAGACTGAAAGTAAACAACCGGCTACTATGAAGTGGGATAAATGAAGAGTTTCTAGGACCGTGCAGTTTTCGGTTGAAAAATCGGCTCCAGGGCTTAGAGAAGCCCGTAGCAATTCATTAAGAGATCCCGGACTGCTTCCTCTCTGTATCCAGGCAACGATCTCCTCCTGGTGTTTTGTCAGGGCCAGGGACCACTCCCCCGCCTTGGGTGGCTCCATTTGTCAGCTCCACAAGTCCCCCCTTCCGGCCTTTTTCAGGGCTTCTTGCAGTTCTCTGACAGTTCATTTCTGCACTACGTCGACACTACCGTTGCCCTCAAGGACAAGGACAAGGGATAACTCACAACTGTCGGCCATAGCTGGCCCCGCCCACTCTTTTTCCGGTTTAAAACCCGCGGGCTTTTCCTGTTCTGAATTCCTAGAGTTCCCGTTCTGATTCTCGCGACAGTTGCTAGACCTCGCGTGAAGTTCGCTTCTCCTCCCTCTTTTGAGTTTGAGATCGGGTGACAGCACGTCCTCGCCCATCTCATCAGAATCCCACTGGCCGGGGATAGCATCTGCGTGGCTCGGGAGCCCCTAAGTGAAAGGGCTTGGCCGAGCTCCGGTGCGCTCCTCGAAGGCAGAGTCCCGGGCCGCCTCCCGAGCTTGACTCTCCGGGGCTCCAGTGCGCATGCGGAGCCCATCCCGTTGGGCCCTGCTGGGTCCGCCGCCCGGGGCCCGCCTGACTAAAAGCCGCCTCCAACCTGGCTGCACTTGGCTGTTTCCGCCCCCTACCAGCTTGATTGCGGCGCGGCTTCTGTAAGCCGCTTTGGACAGGCCGGGGCGGGGCCTGGCCGACCCGTTTTCGGCGGGCGGGCCTGCCAGAAGTCTCTTCTCCCCTCCCCCAGCCCTGAGTGCCACGGTGGCGCTGGTGGCGGCGGAGAGGCAGAATGCCTACGGCCCTGCCAGCTTCGCAACCATAACCTGTAATCCCGACCTGAGCCCCGCCCGCCGGGGAGGCTCCCCGCCCGCCTCTCCTGCGGCCGCTGGTCGCCTCCAACCTCTAATCACCCGGTTCATCGGCGGGTTGAAGCACCTGCCGGATGTGGGGAGGGAGGAGGAGGGCAGATCTAAGCACCGTCTCCGGTCCGCGCCCCGGTGGTGAAGCTGGGTGGGCAAGCCTGCAGTTGTTCCCAGGAAGCCGGCCCTGGGCTGCGGGGAGGCGACGTTGGTTGGCCCTGCCTCCAGGAGCGCCCAGACATCGATGTAAAATTACTTGGCACCAGAGCCCCTACCGCCTCCCCATCATGCAGCTGCTCGAGACTACCCCAGGGACTGTAAAGTCAGATGGGACGGGGCCTAGCCGTTCAGCCAACACTTAGAGCTTCTCGGCCACTTCCCTACCCCCACTCCCCGTCTCCAGTCCTCACACCCCTCCTTCTCTCCCAGCTTCGGTGTCTGGTTACGGCTCCTCTGCTCTCATTGTGACTTTGGGCCAGGCTAGGGGGAAATGGTCCGGGAAGGTCCCGTGCGGCTGCATAAAATTGGCAGCCTCAGAACTAGGGGGAAGGCGGGTGTGCGACGTCGAGGGGCGGGGAGAGGGGGCGGAGGAGCTGCTCTCTGAATCCAAATCTGTAGGCCCTCAGAAATCCTCAGGAGGGAGCCGAGGTGGCTGGAGGGCCCAGCTGACTGTGCACCTCTGCTTTCTTTCCATCACCTCCTTTTTCGGACTGGAATCACGACTGCTCCCAGGGGCCCAGTCCTGGACACTAGGTGAGCGCCCTGGGCCCCAAGCCACACGCGAGGGGCATCACCCCTTCCCCCCAACACACACACTTCCCACCTCCCATTAACAACTTCTTGCTTCTGGAGCCGTCCATTCCCATCCCTGTCTGGGGCAATGAGCATTGGAGTTGGATGGTGTATGGTGGTGATACTGCTGGGGTGTGTGTGTGTGTGTGTCCGCGCGCGCGCGCGCCCGCCTGAGCTTTATCACCCCTTCCTATCATCTCTCCTCACTCCTCAGCCCCCCAAGAACAGCCCAATTAATTGCCAACTGGCATAATTGGATAATTCCTATAAGGTCACTGGGGCGGGGGGTCTACTTCAAGGTAGCAGGAGAGGCCAATGCTAGGGTCAAGCTTTGATACAGGGGCAGTGAGGTTGATCTTTCAGCATAGGCATTGTTTCTGACCTCCTGACCTGGCTTCCGTCCCTGGCAGGGTGCCACGAATGCGCTGATGCCCCAAGTGCTCACAGGGCTTCCAGCTAACCATGCTGCAGTCCCTGGCAACTGCCTTGGCGCTGCCCCTGCTACCGCTATTGCTGGTGGTGCGGACGCCGCCCCCGACCGGCGCAAGGCCATCCCCAGGCCCGGATTACCTACGGCGTGGCTGGCTGCGACTGCTAGCGGAGGGCGAGGGCTGCGCTCCCTGCCGGCCGGAAGAGTGCGCCGCGCCGCGCGGCTGCCTGGCGGGCTGGGTGCGCGACGCGTGCGGCTGCTGCTGGGAATGCGCCAATCTCGAGGGCCAGCTCTGCGACCTGGACCCCAGTGCTCACTTCTACGGGCGCTGCGGCGAGCAGCTTGAGTGCCGGTTGGACGCAGGCGGCGACCTGAGCCGCGGAGAGGTGCCGGAGCCGCTGTGTGCCTGCCGCTCGCAGCACCCGCTCTGCGGGTCCGACGGCCGCACCTACGCCCAGATTTGCCGCCTGCAGGAGGCCGCCCGCGCTCGGCCCGACGCCAACCTCACTGTAGCGCACCCCGGGCCCTGCGAATCCGGTACGCACGGCCCGGGTCCCCTACCCCTAGCACTTGGGCTTCCTCTAAGCACTGCTCCCCCACCCCCGACAGCATTGGCCTCTGCCAGGGGAGCGGAAAAAGTGAGGTCGGGGAGGCTTCGAGTCCAGTATAAGACCCTGCTCTCTCTATTGGTCTTTAGAAACCGCCGCCCGAAGGTGGGGGTCCCGAGCTTTGTTGGCAAGCTGCGTGTGCTGAGCCGGGAAAGCTCCAGAACCGCTGGCCAGGACTGACCCTCTGAGGGTGCAGGCACATAGCCTATGGTTGCTCAAAATTGAGAGAATGAAGAAACCCCCACACTTTGCCCAGACCGCTGGAGCCCAGGCAGCCAGACCTGGGTCCTGTGAGATGCAATCAGGTTGTGCGTGGGCAGATTCTTAGAGCAATTTATTAACCCAGTCTCCTCACCTCTCTCCTTTCTCCTGCATTTAGGGATTAGTGAAGGTGGGAGCTCTTCTAGCTCTCCCTCGCCCTATCCCTGAGGACTGGGGACTCAATCCCCAAGTTTTCTTTGGCGGCTTTAGTAACTTTCACTTCCTGAGCTCCTGCTCTGGTCGGGCCTGGCTGGGGCTTCGGGAAAACAACACCCCGCGGGGGGTCCCAACAGTTTCCCTGAGTCCTCCGGGCTTCCTGCCTGCTGGCCCTCTGCAGCTGCCGGTGACTGGCTTCAAGTTCTCTGCCTTTGCCAGAGGGACCTTCCCAGGAGGGTGGGTTGGGGGAAGGGCTGCTCTTCAGGTTTGGGGGAACTGGGCTTGGTTAGAAAATGGGGAAGGGGGGAGGTGTTGGTTATAAGCAAGTCAGAGAAGGGGCCTGGGAGGGTGGCATGAGGACAAGGGAGCAGTCAGGGACAGTGTGGCTGCCAAGCTAAGGTGTGGGTCTGTGTGCTTGTGTGTTTGCACATCATGTCTGTATGGTACTCTGTGCACACGTGTGCATGTACATTTTCGTATCCGTGTTCACACCTTTGTGTGTGCCAGCATCCACATTTATATGTACCTGTGTGTCACATTGTGTTTATGGATGTGTATTGACCTCAGCATACATTGTGTTCTGCCACAAGCATGTCCACAGTAATTTGTATATCGTGTCCTTGCTGGGATGGATGTGCCATCCTGTTCTCAGACCTTCCACCTCCACCCCCAGAGCCCCAGATCGTGTCACACCCATACGACATTTGGAATGTGACAGGGCAGGACGTGATCTTTGGCTGTGAGGTGTTTGCCTACCCCATGGCCTCCATCGAGTGGAGGAAGGACGGCTTGGACATCCAGCTGCCAGGAGATGACCCCCACATCTCTGTGCAGGTAGGGACAGGGAGCAGAGGCTTCCCTCAGGCTGCCCAGGGGCCCCTCAAAAGGAGCCTGCTGCTGACTCTTTGTCTGGCTCCAGTTTAGGGGTGGACCCCAGAGGTTTGAGGTGACTGGTTGGCTGCAGATCCAGGCTGTGCGTCCCAGTGATGAGGGCACCTACCGCTGCCTTGCCCGCAATGCCCTGGGTCAGGTTGAGGCCCCTGCTAGCCTGACAGTGCTCACACCAGGTAAACAGGGAGGCCTGAACTCTGGGGGTTGGGAGGATGGTACTGGATTAGGGCCCTTGGATATGTGTGTAAGAAACAGTCCACTTGTGTATGTGCATGTATGTGCACACGTAAGCATAGCCTTCCCACAGACTGGGATATGTGGGCACCGACAGTCCCTCTCTCCTGTTCTCATTTGCCCACATGTGTTTGCAGATCAGCTGAATTCTACAGGCATCCCCCAGCTGCGGCCACTAAACCTGGTTCCCGAGGAGGAGGCTGAGAGTGAAGAGAGCGAGGATTACTACTAGGTCCAGAGCTTGGGCTCATTGGGGTGGGTGAGCAGGCATGGTGCTCAATCCTACTCTTGAAAAGACCTGGAAACGGGGAACAGGGTCCCTTTGTGGATTGCTTTATGCTCTTAGTAGGGGTGATCATGGTGGTTGGGGGTCTACTTGTCTCCAGGGTAGAAGAGGGTGGTAGGGGAGAGAGGCAGAGATTAGGAGAGCTGGCGTGCAAAGGGGCCCCTGCAGGAGATCTCCAACACCCCAGGCTGGGGTGGGGGTGGGGCAGACACAAAGAGGCACAGTGATAGGGGTCCTCCACCTCTTTCCAGCAGTGCCCCCCACCATCCCTGCTCAACCATCTAACTGCTCTTCCCCAAAGGCCCTGTTCCTGCTATTTTCCTGGTCCCCTTACCTAGCTTGTCTTCTAGAAGTTTTCCCTCTCTCCTAAGTCCTAGCTGCACTTACTAACTGCAGTCCTCTTTGCTGTTTGCTGTCTTTTGTACAAGAAAGCAGAGTGGAGCACTGTTTAGTTCCCTGCAGTAAGATGGGCAGGGCCAGCTCCATATCTTATACCACTCCATTAGACAAAGCCTAGCACAGGACTAGGCACAGTAAGCACCAATAAAGATTTATAAACGAACTGAGCCACACAGATGCACAGATATTTCATGCAGATGTGCACATGAAGATCGAGTATCCCTGGGAGGCCTCCCACACTAATGGAACTCTGGCTTGCAGAAGCTCAGGTCCTGCTTTAAGTGCTTGCTTGCCAGGTGTACAGAGGGAAGGCTTGAGCTCTGGCCTACCCTGCCCTCTAGGGGGAGAAAGTGGAGCCATCTGGCTGGAAGGAGGGTGTCCTCTCATTCTGCCCTCCTTTGGGGCTGGTATACAGATAGGTATCTGCCTCTCTGTTCATCTTACTCTGGTCTCCTCCCTAGGCAGAGTGGGGAATCAGGTATGTGTGGGTAGGACCCCAAAATGAAAGCATAAATTGGATAGGGGAGGGGAGAAGTTTGGCCGCCAATGTGGCCTTCCCCAGCTCCCAAAGGAATCTATTTCCCGGCTGAACTCAAGGCCATAGTAAGCCTGTTTCCTGTCTGCCCCAATTGTGACCTGTCGTATCTGGCTTGGGGTCCCTCGCGGAACCGCACTCTTTGGCTCCCGGAATCTCTTCCCTCATTCTCTTTACCTAGCCCAGGGACACTGGTGAGACCCAGTGTTTACGAATGACTGAAGGAAAGAGTGAAAACTTAAGCCAGCGAAGCCAAGACGCCGTGTGCGGATGGCGACGGCCTCCTACGCTCCTAGGCTCCGCCCGGAGCCTGGCGCCACCGCGGGAGGGACTGCTCTTGGCTCGGCGTCTGACTTTGTCCTCTGGGGCCCAATTCAGGGGGCCTGGGCTCTTGGGAGAGGCGTGGTCCAAACCCCAACCCCAGGGCTGGGCCGCCCCTCCTGCGGCTACGCACTACCATCTAGTGTCGCCTTGCCCTGGGCCCCTAAGCCAGACGACGGTTTTTATTGGCAAACTCTGGCTGGAGCCGGCGGCCCCAGGAGCGCGAGCCGGTTGGATACTTGGAGCGAATTCCAAGGCGACCGCCGAAACAGGAGCAAGGGGGTGGGTGGGGTTGTGGCGGTGGGGTGTGGGTGTGGGGTGTGCTGTGTGGCTTCGGGCCAGAGGAAAATCCGCTCGGCGCTGAAACGGGAGGTGGGTTTGGGTCCCTGTGTCAGCCCGGGCATCCGCCCCTGGCTTTTTCTTCACCCAGCTGAGCTCGAAGGCGCCCTCTGCGGGCCTGTGGGTCCTACCGCGCCCACCTACAGAGCAGAGGCTCCCGGCCAAAAGGCCCACCCTACCCGAGTGGGTCACACGGGTCCTGGGGAATCTGTACTCGATCGCGTTTGCAGACTTTGTAGGATGTTCCGGAGCAGCCTCCTTGCAGCCTCAGTTTCTCCCTCTGCCGCCCTTGTGGTTCCAGCCCCACAGTCTGGAACCAGAGGAACCCCTGCTGTCCACCGCCCCCATCCGCCCCGCACCCCGCCTCTGCTGCCGCGGACCGGCTTTAATAACGTCGCTGGAAAGTGACACGCGATTTATTATTAAAGTAATGCGGGCGCGGGGACGGGAAAGGTTTAATAAACGCGCTGAGATGCCGAGGATTATTCACCGCAAATAAATGAGAGTGCGGGCGGCGTTTTAATAAATAATTTCCTGCTGCTCCCGGGGGAAGAGGGGAAGAGGAGGGGGAAGCTGAGCCGCTGCCACAACTCCCGGCTTCGCCTCCCCTCGGGTTTCCAAGCCTTCCCCGTGTTTTTCGTCCTACGTTGCTCACACCGGAGATGTGAGATTCCAGGAGAGCCAACCCGGAGTAGCCAGGCCTGAGGGCGGGGGACGCTCAGTCCACCCTACCTCCCGCACCTTTGGGATTTTAAGTAGTTTGTTTAAGATCCAGCGAACGCAGTTTCTTTAGGCTCCCACCCGGAGATCCAGAGTCAAGACCCGACCGGGGCAGGAAGGGTTAATCAGGACCAGCTCCTCCCAAGCCAAAGGTTCCTGGTCTCAGGGATAGGCCATTCTCCTCCCCGTTTTTTGGCTGACCCGGGCTGGGCGTCCGTCTCTCCTCCATCCAGGGCAAGGTGTGAGGAGAGGGTCAAAGGGGGCCGTGTGTGCAAATGACCCTGACTCTGGTCCCTTCCTGAGTCTGTCCTGGGGCAAGGAGCCGCTGCGTGTGGTTGCTTGTTACTACAAAGGCTCCAAAGCAGGGGCCAAGTGTCCTTCAGCCGTTCCGCTCTGAACTGAGGGTGTCCGGGCGAAGCCCAGCCCTTGGCTCGCTGGTAACGGGTGGCTTTGAGGACTGGGCAGGATTGGAGCCCCAAGGGGAAGACCGTCCCTCCAAAAGAAGCCTGAAGACCCCAGAGGATGAACCTGGCTCGGACAGGGCCAAGATCGCAGACTTTGGGGACTGAGGACACGCTCGCCACGCTGGTGGTGGTGGTGGGGAGCGCCTGGGGAACACCTGGCTCCGCAAGTTTTGTGCCTTGGCGGAAAGAGGCGACATCTCTGGCAACACTTGGGAGTACAGGAAACGGGAATGGCGAAAGAGTGCCATCTGGTGGATATTTCTGATAGTGGGCGTCAGACCTGGGCCAGGCGCCTTGAGACAGTTTAACTTGAAAAATCTGAGTAAAAAGGTGCTTGGGTTTGTATTCATTTAGTGTATCTGAACGTGCACGTGTGTGTGTTGTGTATATGTGATATCAATATATATGTGTGTGATATCTATATATAATATCTAATATGTTCATGGTAGTTATGTGTTATATGCACAGTATGTATACATGTATGTCACAATATATGTATGCATGTGGATTATCTAAATGCACATATATTAATATGTATGTGGAAATACACATAGGTTATATGTGTGTGTATACATGAGCATTGAATATATGATGTATTGTTATATGTGTATGTATTTACATTCATTTGCAAGTATGTGTTCCACCGTGTGTCATTCTTTCTACACATATTTTGTTATGTACCAGCACTGTTGTAGGGGCTGGTGCTACATCATGGGGAAAAACTTGTCGCTGCCCTCATGGAGTTTCCGTTCTAGTCTAAGATGTATATGTGTGAATGCACGTATACTTACATAAATCATATGTTTATATTTACAGGATTATGTGCACATGTACATGTGACTCTGTCTATACGTGTACATGTGAGGGGCAGACAAGATTAGACTCTGGTGGGCCTGGAGATTCCCTGCTAAGGTGCTTGTCACCTAGAACTCTATTCTGAGTATGCAGGCAGCTGAGGGCAGAGGGAAGGACACTGGAGACATGGGCCGATTACCTCCTAGGGTATATTTTGGTTATTTCCTCTGCCCTCTGAATGACTAAATTCTTTCTACACAGAGAACAGCCATGTAAGTGCGCCTGTGGTAATGAAAAGTTAATGAAGATCAAGTCTCATCTGTGCTCAACTCAGAGCCCCCTTCAGCGGAAAGATGGCGGGCTGGGGAAGGGTGTGAATGGGTCTGAGAGGCTGGGGGCGGGAATAGCTTCTCTGAGGGCAGTTATCGGGGCACTTAGAGACTGGGAGGGTCAGGGTCTGGGAGGCGAGGAGCTCTGGGAGTGGGCTGCAGACAATGGGGAGTGGTTGAGGACACTTAGAGAGAGATGGGGTGGTGGGATGGAGAAGGGGCCTGAGGGTCAGAGGGGGGATGGAGTTGGGTTGGGGGTGGGGCAGAGAGAGAAGCTCTGGCACAGGGATACACCAGTCCTGGGGTGGAGCCTGGAGGCTGGCTCAGTGGGAGTCATCCTCCCTTATTCCCACCCATTCCCTTCCCCATGCTGGGCCCCTACCGTGCTCTAGCCCTCCCTCTGCTCCAGTGGCTCCCACATGTACTGGGGGCAGAGGAGAAGAGCTAAGGTTCTAGGGCTTGGCCTGGCTTAGGTGACTCACCTAAGTGGTGGGTGAGGTGGGGCAGGGCTCACAACATCAGTGTCCCATGAAGCCTTGTCCCAGCCCCCTGGGTCATTGCCCACCCAGCTGCCATTACCAGCTTCCAGTTTGGGCTCAGCCCAGGGGTTTCAAACAAGGGTGGGGCATGGACCTGGAAAATGTCACAGAATATCCACCCCCACAACACACAGGCTTCTGGGGCTGAACTGGGAAAGGTGCTTCTGAGTCATTTCTTCCTTCTTGCCCTCCTTTTGCCAGATGTTTTGCAGATGCAGTCAAGTCCAGGGGCCTTCAGTTGCCATCTTAATTCTTGGTCAGTGGTACTATCTCATACCTCCCTCTCACCCTCACTTGCTGGATTCCTTCACCCTAAAACGGGTTTCTGTCCCTCCCCTTCTGTCCCTTCACTGCCTCTCTTCCCTCCCTCCCGTCCCTCTTTTCTTCCCAGCGTTGAGATCTTGTATCTCTGGGCTGTGTCCTCACTGGTCGGCGGAGGAAGCAGGGAGATAGGTTGAAGATACAGGCTGGTTCCTGGCCTGGATTTATTTTTGGCATTTTTCCTGCCATGTGGGTGACTGGACAGGGTGAACAGTTATGAAAGTCTAGTTTTGGGACAAGAGTTGCTCCACATTCAAATGTCATCCCATCCTCTTGGTGACATGAGGTCTGGAGTCCTTGGGAGAAAAGACAATATCTCTGTGAGAAGCAGCAAGAGCCTGAGGGAAGTGACGGGGT